TGAGCACTCTCGCCCTGTCTCATACTTGAGCTTTTGGGACACCTCACATCTGAAGCGTAACAGTGGATGTCAGGTGCGGACACCCTCCTGTGCGATTAGGATGTCGTGTGTGCAGGAGGGTGTCCTCATGCGTAAGGCCACGGGTCCACGTGCTCAAGCTAGACACCCCAGGGCCTAGACGAGGGGCTCCTGAATGATGGTTCTTCTTTGATCGGTTCTTTTGAGTCTGACACGACAGTGGGGTCCACTGTGATGCAGTGACACAGACGTGGACCATGTCTTCCTCTAGGGAGGATCCCATACTCACGGAGGTCCACGAGGTGGGATGCACTGTGTTCATTTATGTCCAGGAGAAACCACGTCAGGTCCATCCCACTGTCTTTCCTTTCAGGATCCTCCTCCCTCCCCTCTGTCCCCATTGTCCAATCTACTGAATATCGATTCTTCCCTTCGCCACCCCACCGTGTGGTGAGGGCGCTTCCACATGTCAGAGAAGACATTGGACCTTGGGCTTTGGGGAACTGGCTTATTTCACTTGGCGTGATCACCTTCGGAGGGTCCGTGTGCTGGCGGATGTCATGAAGTCGTTATGTGATTATCAATAGTCAGTAAATGGGATGGCACCAAACTGAAAAGCGTCTTCACGGCAAAGGAAACCACCAGGAGAGAGCCTAGAGAACGGGAGGTCCTTTCCATCTGCACCTCAGATAGGGCGTTACAAAGACCTCAACACCACACACACACACACACACACACACACACACACACACACCCCGATCCATAAATGGGCAAGGATCTGAAGGATGCTCTTGAACAACCCCATCACCACCTGGGAACTCTTCAGAAATGCCAGCACTTGTGCCCAGCCCAGACCTTTTGAATCGGGAACTCGGGAAGTGGGCCCTGGCAATGCACTGTCCCCATGTGACTCTGATACACCCCAGTGTTTGAGAACCGTTGATCTAGTCCCTCTAAGGCCCTCCTTTGTTCCTCCACCTCCAAACCTCTTCCCCTTGGCCTCACCCCCTGGGAACTCCTGGAAACAGAGCTCCACACCCCTCACACACGCTGATGGCACAAGCTCACTGCAAACTCACCCCGCGGGTCCCAGAAGTGTCCCATTACCTGGGACAAAGGGAAGAATAGCATATCCCCGTTTCCAACTGCCCGCTGGGGGACCACCTAGTGACCATCTCGGCCATCAGGTCCACTGCAGAGGACTGCTGTGCTCACGTCGGACAAGCCTTGTTTTAGTTAATGATGGCCCCGCGGTTAAGCTCCAGAGCTGTGTTGCTGGCCACTGGAATACGCCGAGGACACACCTGGGACCAGAGGTCGTGTGCACAGGAGATCATGGGTGCACACTCTGGATCTGCCTGTGGTTCCAGCACTCAGTGGGGGCCTTGAAGTGCACCCTTGTGGGCACAGGGGGCTACTTACCTCCAGGCGACTGGGCTGAATGACTCGGGGATGCTGTGCTCTCCTTCGGGCCACACATCTAAGGACCTTTAATACACTGGAGAGACCTGAGAGTCTTGGGGAAGGGATCATGGTCTGCAGTGCCCTCTAGATGGACCACAGACTTGGACTGAGCCCTAGACAGGAGCTGGGACCCCCCCCTACACTTATTTCCTGTGTTGAAGGCACTGGGAAGTATTCTGAGGAGCTTAGGTTCTGAAACATTTAACAGTGTCCATGAAATTTGACAAAAGGGTACAAATTAACTTGCTTATCACCAATATTTAATTCTTCTTCTTCTTCTTCTTAAATTGGAGATTTAACCCTCAGGTGCTTTCCCACTAAGCCACATCCCCAGCTCTTTTTATTCCTATTATTTTTTATTTTGAGACAGGTTTCGCTAAGTTGCTGAGGTTGGCCTCAAACTTGCGACCCTCCTGCCTCAGCCTCCCAGCCACACTCAGCTCAATGTTTGGTTCTTATCTTTCAATTAATGAATGAGTTCACTGGGCCGAGAATTGGGAAATCTGGGCTCAAGTTCCCGAGTTGTGCCTCGGCTTCAGCAGTCTGGTGTATCTGGAGATGAGGATGCTGGAGAACACCTCAAGGGCTCCGCACACTTCAAACCTGCCGTGAACGTTAAAATCCCAGAAGAAGCTATCCTATTTTATGACATTTCAATTGCAGCAGTTTCTCCTTAATGTTTAGCTTCCCTTTTTACGACCGTTCATATTTGACATTTGGAATGCTTTAGAACCTTCCAACACCGTCTTAGCACCTTTTTACTTCAAAAGTAAATTCCACTGGACGTCTCTAATTACCTGTGTCTACTCAGAGCAAAGTAAAGTCAGGTTTAGACCAAAACCTCTCTGACCTTAAGAAGTGAGATCACCCAATCCTTTTCCCAATAATAAACTTCAGTGGCTCGCATCTTGCACCCTGGATGCCAGCTGGGAATCTGGTGGAGGTGCTATTGGAGCAAACACCTGACCTAAGTGAGGTCCACGTTGGAAAGGAACTCACCCATAGGGACTGGCCACTTAGGTGCACGGGTGACGCCCCCTTGGAGTCGTCAGGGGTGACCCATGGCCATTTGCTTTAGGATACACCCTGGTGCTTCCTCGGGAGCTTGGGGCTTACAGAGTACCCTTGCGTAGGAGTCACAGCGGCACAGTTTGGTGCCTAATTACTGAGCATTGACCACGCAGAGCTAAGAGTGTTTCAGTTCAAACTTTAGGGCCAGGCGTCCCTGGTTCAAATCCTGTCTCTGCCATTTAAAAGTGGAGGTTTTCTGATGATGTTAACACAGCTTTGTAAGTTTCACGGGGAGGAATTGAGTCATTTGGATCCTAGGACACCTAGGGTGGCTTTTTCCCCCCAGGGAAACCTAAGAGCTAATTCTGCTTCCATAACCGCAGGACCTCTCCTAAGGTCAGGGCCTTGCTGATACTGGACTTGGGTTTGAGAACAAGGAGAACCCATTGGGGCTTTTATTATTTTTAATTTTTTTTTCTTAAGTGCAAAATTTGTTGGTGGAAGTCATTTCTTACATCCCTGGAAGGTGTGAAATCGAGGATGATGGTAAGTGTGTTCCTTTGCAAATCCAAGCTCTACCTCCGGATCTGCCTTATGTTCATTTAGAGTTAAATCAGTGCTCAGGGACGTCGCACAGGTGACATGCACACAGCGTGTCCACGTGTGTACGGCGTCACTCAGTCACTGGTCAGACGTTTTCAGTCGTGTGTGGAGGTCGGGCCGCACTAAGGCGCAAAGGCCGGGGGGAGAGGTCACGGGGCAGAGAGGGGACGAGGGGAGGGAGGAGGGGGGCGGAGGATGGTGCCGTGGTCCCGAGTTTTAGGCCCAGGTGTCACCTGGTCCCCGGGGGCTGCTTGAAGGTAGGGACCTTCAGGAGGTTGGCAGAAGGTGCCCTGGAGGGTGTGGGACCCGTTCCCCGCCCCTCCTTTTGGCTTCCAGGACGAGGACAGACCCGAGGCCACTCCACGCAGGCGCTGGGGCCTCCGCCACCGCGGGCCTCAACTCACCTTTCTTCACAAGCGGCTCTTTCTGGGGATGGTCACGGCCACGGAGAGGACACAGCCCGGTGCTCGAGCTCCGCAGTCCAGGGCAGAGACCCGGAGCCGCGGGGTAAGCTCCAGCGTGGGGCCCCCGAGGAGCCCAAGGTCTGGAAGTCACCAGGCTCGGGCGGAGCCAGTCTGGAGCCCCGCGTCCTGCGGGGAGGCCCTTCCTCCCCAGGCCTCGGTGGGTTGGCTCACGCCCCCGGGTGGAGGGCGGGAGGGCGGTGTACGCACGTGGTCCACCGGGTTCAGTCTGAGTCCTCTCCACCCCGTGGCCTGGCCTCACCGAGAAGGGCTCTGACAAGCCGCCACAGCCGGGTCCCGCTGACGCAGGAGGTCAACACACGTGCAGTAAAGACTTCCTGAGTCACACCCAAATCCTTCTGGCTCACAGCAGGGAGTGTGCGGCCCAGCGTCACATCATAGCTCTTCCCCTTGTTGCAGTGACAGTCCCTGCAAGACCACTGAGAATGGAAGGTGATCCACGTGCTGAGCAGAGGGTGGGGCTCCAAGGAAAGCGGGAGTGCTGAGCCATCTCGCTGAGCTTTTCTGAGATTCACTGTGTGCACGGGGCACAAAACTAAAACAAAAGCACAGTTGTTGGACCTTCCGGCCGCGCCCCTTCCGGCCGCGCCCCTTCCGGCCGCGCCCCTTCCGGCCGCGCCCCTTCCGGCCGCGCCCCTTCCGGCCGCGCCCCTTCCGGCCGCGCCCCTTCCGGCCGCGCCCCTTCCGGCCGCGCCCCTTCCGGCCGCGCCCCTTCCGGCCGCGCCCCTTCCGGCCGCGCCCCTTCCCTTGTGAATGCCGTCTCATCCTAGCTATGGTAGCCATTCCCGGGATGCACAGGAGGTAAGACCAAGCCTTTGCCCTGGGAGAACCTTTTCTCTGGTGAACAGGCAAATAAAACTATATCACAATTGCTCATGAGAGACAGAGTCCCAGAGCACAGAGGATGGAGTGGTCAAATTCTACTCACGACAACAGAGACCTTGACCTGGGTTGTAAGGATGCCCTTGTGCTCGCCACACCAAGCTAAGAGAAGGAAAAACAGCAGATTATTTTTTTTCCAATTGTGTGCTAGGCATTTCTGGGTTTCATATTCAGGCATGAATTTTCTTCATTTATGAATTTTTTTTCATTTATTTCTAACCAGAGTCACTAAGGGAATAAGGTATTAGGATCCCCCCCCCCCTTTTTAAAGTTGGAGACATGAAGGCTCAGAGAGGTTTAGTGACCTACCTAAGTTTACACAGCAGGGAGGAGGTAAGGGGAGATTGGATCTAAGGTTTCTTTTGTTGTTATTATTCTGGGGAAGGACTGCCAGGCACAGAGATGTGAAAAATCTGGGACACGCTCTGAGCAGGTTCTATGAGCGTGTGCCCATAGGCCACCCTGAGGCTTTGTGTTGTCTTTGGGGGTGTGACCCCTGAAGGTAGGATAGAGAAAGGAATCAGGAAGTTGTGCAATGGGGGGCAGAGATGAGGAGGGGGAGACTGTGGGGTGTGCCAAGGGGGCCCTAGGGCTGCGGGTCAGGCCTGTCATGATGTGTCATTAGCAGGAGGCGTTCAGGTGCACCTCTGTCATGACAGAGTAGGTACTTGGGCAAGTGACCGGATCTCTGAGCCTCAGTTTACCCAGCTGTAAAACGTGGATAATATCAGCATACGGCTCAGAGCAGGGCTGAGAGGAGAAATGAACCAATGTGAGGAAATTGCTCAGCAACGTGCCCAACAGACATTTTGTCAATACATGCAGTTGTCATCGTCAACGCTGCTCATCTCCTTGGCAGTGCATAGGCCCCTCTTCCTCGGGTGCCTAATTTGGGGAACTCCAGGGACAGTCCTGTCTGGCCCCCACTGGGCTTCCTCCATGCCTGTGTCGGGTGGCCACTTGCTGTAGATGCAGCTGTAGCTCTCAACTGCCCCGGGTGACGTATGCCAGGCCACTGGTCTCAGGGCTATTTGTGTTTGTCCCCAGGGAATGTCCTGCCTCTGCTGTGTGACCGCCACTGGGGCCGCTCTGCAGGCCGAGGACAGCAAACCTGTGTGCACCTCTGTGTCTGGAAGGCAGGGGGAGGTGGTGCCGTCCTTGTGATGTCACCCCGAGTTTGGTCTCAGGTGCTTGGCCGACATGGGTGGTGATGCGGTGTCGATCCCCTGGGGTGCGTCTTGTTAGGGTGCATTGCTTTCTACCCAGTTTTGGGCTCAGCTCCCTTCTGACATCAACCAGAGCAGCCGACCAAGGCTTTGCCGTTTTGGGGACAGGCCACTGACTTGGTCATGGGTTCTGCCAGCGCTGATCCCAGGATGTCAGTCAACAGAAAAACGAAACCTAAGCCTCGTGTCCAGTGGGCTGCGGCTGGCTCCTGGACTTGTGCTCACGTGCTTTGTGACAGTAGGCGACTGATCCCACCCCTCAGTCCTTGGCTTCCTCTGATGATGCTCAGGCGCTTCCTTTAAATTCTCTGAGTTCATTTTCCTCGCCTGTAAAGTAAGGATGCCATCAGGGAAGTTGAAACGCTATCTGAAATACCTGGAATCTCTTAGGGTTCCCATGGCGGGGGTTCCTACACTCACCCATCCACTAGACGGATGTTGAGTACTAAGGAGAATGGTCTTGGTTATCACCGTGTCCAGCACTGACCGCCTCACAGGTAGTTGGCGTGCGTGTGAGTGTGTGTTTGTGTGTGTTGAATCAACTAGATAAAGCAGAAATTTATTTTTTTATCTTATAAACAAGAAAATGTTAATTCAAAGAGGTGACATGAATTGTCCAGTGTACAGGGCTGTCCAGTGGGGAGAGCTCTAGTGGACTCCAAAGGCAAGTTCTTTTTTTCTGAGTTCTGAGTGTTGGCGCTACTACATTCTGGTGAAAATCAGAGTTTAGTGCCCTGATCTCCTTTAAAAAAATCTCTGATTTCTTCAGGGGATGTTAATAAGATCCACATTTCCTAGATATTGAAATACTATTTAACTTGCCGAATCAGTCTTTGGAACAAGTGTCCATGTTCTTGGGCATCATTAGAGGAAGCCGAGGACTGAGGGGTGGGACCAGTTGCCTAATGTCACAAAGCAAGTGAGCACAAGTCCAGGAGCCCAGCCCCAGCCTGCTGTTCGTCAAGTGTATTTCCGTATCTTCCTTGTTCTCTTTGGCCAGCGTCCTGGGTTTAGCAAACTCCCGGGGATGAAGGGTTGCAGCAGACCTGCCACCAGACTCAGGCACCAAATCCTAGGAAGTCAGGCGTGGAGTCGGAACCTCCCTCCCTGCAGGCTCAGCACGGGGAGGGTCTCCTTAAGATGGGGCAGCGTCTTCGCCTCTGAGCCTCGAGGATTTGACTCATCTCCGTTTACCTGCTGGGTGATGGATCTGTCTTAGAGCCAAGTTATCTATTTAAACCATCAGGTACATAAATAAGATTCCAGTTACCAATAAAAATGCATTATCCCTCTGTTTCTGTAGAGAAATCAATGAGTGAAAATCTTGATTAACAATTCATCATATTTCAGGTCTTCTCTGCCATTGTTTGGAAATGCAGGATGAGAAATCAGGGACGTTCCTTGATGGAAGAAACCTTTGGAGGTTGCGCCCAGGCACAGGAGTGGCTTGGAGAGAGCGTTAGTTCAGGGCACTCCACCCGCTTTGCGTGGAGAGTTCAGGAGGACGCGTGCCCGATACGGATTCACCTTCTTCCTCATTAAAAGAACTCAGCTTTGCTCTGGGAAGAATGTAGCCAACTATCGCTCCTGCTTTCCCAGATTCCCTGGAGGCCAGGTGCAGTCAGATGACATCAGGTGGCCAAGCAGGTGACCATTTTGCTGGGGGAAGCTTTGGCATGAGGGTCAGCTCTCTCCGTAGCAGGGGACAGATACACATGACCCAGCCCCTCCAGCCCGTCACTCTTGAGGACATCACACAGACAAGCCAGGTGTACCCGTGAGTTTCCCTGCTTTATGTTTCCTAGAGGGACGTCTGGGAAGTGGAGCCCACCTGGGGAAGAGCCAGATTGCGGAGATGGTGCCCGAGTCCGCCCTCGGGTTGGGAAGGGAGGGTTGGTTTGCAGCTGGCTCTTCTGTTACTTGCAGCCGAGCGCAGCCCAGATTGCATGAGCGACTTGCTGGGGCACCGTCTTACCGGGCTGCCACTCAAAGAGCATGTTCCAGATAGGTCACTAGGATGTGCCCCATAGCAGCCCGTGGACGCACCAGCCTGGCCCCGGCCCCTGAGCTGGCCTGAGAGTTCTGTGTTTAGGGTCTTTTGATGACTCTCAAGAGAGAGCCGGAACCCCTTCTTCCTGGCACTGGGTACGAGGGAGCTATGAGGTCAGGAGAACGTAGGCTGGGACCATGGAGAAGAAATCTGATGACGTCTCACTGGGGACAGAAACTTAGAGATGTTGGTGACGCTCTTAGGAGAGGGGGTTTCCCCAGGGAAAGGCAGCTGCTTTTTCTTTGAGCTACAAGGACAACGAGTCTGGGAGCCGGCAGTATGGCGAAGGCAGGCCTAGGGCGGGTCATCTTGGGGTGGATTCGACACCAGGACCCAGGAAGTCAGCTGGCTTCTAAGGCGGTGACCCTGGGCTCACAATCCTTTCTTAGTGTTGAAGTGGGGGTCTAGATGAGAACCACATGGTAATCAGAGAATTGCTTTAAAGAGCTAGGAACCGTGAAGTGTGCCTGGCTCTGCTATTGACTCTTCAGTAGATCCGGCACATCTGCACAGAGAGCCTCAGACCATGCAGAAGCCCTTTCAGGGCTGCCAATTATAGTTGTCTAGATTGTACACTGCACAAAGCCAGGGGCCACCAACTGCATAAAATCACCATATATAATAGCCCCAGGAAAGGTGCCTGGCACCTGATGCTCATCCCAGGCTCCAGTGACAGGTACCCTTATTGACCTTGCTTTGTTTTCTTCCTGGTGCATCTATTATTAGTTAATTCATCTTCTAATTAAAAATAGTATTTATTGAGCTCTCCTGTGTTCCAGGCACTTGGCCAGGGATTGGGAAAACGCTGGGGAAAAACAAGGGGCTGGTCCACTCTTATAAAGCTTATGGCCAATGGGGAACACAAATGGTAAGTTTAAAAAAAACCCCACAGGAATAAATGTCCATTTGTGACTGTGATTGGCCTGGGAAGGAGACAGAATTGGTGATAGGAAAACTGAAAATGTGGGGTTTTCAACTGGGCTGAAAAGTTCCACAAGGTTTGAGTTGGAGTCTAAAGGCCGAGTGGAAGTTCCTGGGCACAGAGAAGGAAGAACCCTTCATGATGAGGGACCGGCACGTTCAAAGTCCCACCATACGAGGAGACGTGGGTCTCCTAAGACCAAGCCTAGCCTCGAACTTGCCATCCTCCTGCCTCAGCCTCCCTGATCACTGGGATTACAGGTGGGACCTTGGCAGCTGTCCCTAGTTCTGAGTGCCTCTTGGGACCCAGCTCTTTGCCCCACACTGTTAAGCTGCCTCCTTTGTCCCACTGTCCTCTGGGACTCCTCACGTACCTCCACTGAGCCGCACCAGAGGGCAGGGCCCACCTGTCACCTGTCCTGAGACTCACAGGATGGGGATCTTGGCTGTAGCCCCACATCGCCCGCCCCACAGCAGCAGCAGAACCCCGGGCTCTACCCACAACGCTCTTCCACGGGCTGGGACCAGATGGGCTGTCCAAACTGTCCCCATCGCCACCTTGAGCAAAATACCAAGATGCTACCAAAGCAAGCCTGGCTTTCCACGGCTGCTGTCCTGTCAGCACATGGACGATGGCGGTTCCAGATCAGGCCCTTCAGAAAAGGAACCATCTATAAGCCCGGTGCGAAGGGAGGAGGGTCGGAGAAGCCATTCCACAGGCTCCGTCTCCCGCAGGCTCCGCAGGTGATCTGTGTGGTTCTGGCCGAGTGATGCCCGGGGCCGGTTGGTTTCTGCAGCTCTCGGGAAAGTGAGGCGATGCTGACGTTCAGGTCTCGTTTGAGGATCGAGTTGGACACAGAATCGGCGGCCGGGCAGCCTCCACCCACGGACACGAGAACAGGGCAGATGTTGGCTTGTCACGGAGGAACGTTGTTTTTTTGTTTTGTTTTGTTTTGTTTTTTAAAGTTGCTGGATCTGATGTCAGATGACAAAATAATCTTTTAAGACTGTGGAGTCCCCAGACGTCAGATTTGGGGCGGCAGGTCGCCCAGGCCCCGGGGTGCTCGGCTCCCCTAGTGATGGCCTTCAGGGTCAGCTGGGAGGGCCACTGCAGCACCTTCAGGGGCACAGGTCCTCCCGGTGACACTGCCATCCTACAGCTCGCTGTGCTCTGTGCCTTGGAGGTCGCTTGGTCTCACTCTTAAACCCAGAGGCTCCCAGGACGTGAGTCCTTGCAGTGATGGAAGCTCCCTGGGTTTCATGAGATGGAGGTCGTGGGAACCTTGTCTCCTGTTGATCTGAGCCAGCCCTCCCGTCCACCCCGCCCTCATCATGTCACTGTGGGCAGCGTGAGCGCTCTGGGTAGACAGGTCTGAATGTGCATCCTTAGCTAGCTGTGTGGCCTTGACTAAGTTGCTTGCATCTCTGAGCCACAGTCTGTGGATCAAGAAATCCTATACCTGAGCTGTGTGGCTTGGGGAGTCAGCAATAATGTCTTCACAGCACCGAGCACAGTGCTAGGCACTGACTTGGGACACAGGGACTGGAAAATGGTCACAATAAGCTCAATAACATTAGAAGTTATTATTATTGTTGTTGTTATTATTATTAGCATTTATTCAATCTATGCTTTTTAAGACTCTAAAGAGTTGTTCTGTTCGAAACAGGCTCATAGAAAGAGAAGGTCGTGCAGTCAGTTGGGGAGAGGCCCCAGTGCGAGGAGAACACTTGATCTGTGGACGTTTGGGGCTGAGGATTTATATACTTATATATGTGTGATTGGCAGTCCTAAAGAGAGGTTCCAGGAGTGGCTGTCAGGGGAGACACTGATCACAAAGCCGAGTGTAAGCAAGAATCAGGCTTCCTTCTCTGCTACAGGAACACGCACCCTCTGGGGCCTGGTTTTCATTTGTAATCTTAGTAACTCGGCCGCTGCAGACAGCGAACCTTGTATTGATCCGGAGCCCTGCAGGGGAGCTCGGCCTCGGGAAGCTGGGGACTGTGATTTCGCCTATTAGTTAGTACTCTCCAGAGCACGTGTGTGCGTGTGCATCTGTGTGTGTGTGTGTGTGCACGCGCATCTGCATCACCAAGTGAGGTTGATTCTGGGTCTTGCAGGGCCTGGTGGGGGTCCTCCACAGGGGGAAGGCTGTAGTTCTTCAGTGTCTGATGACTGAGAGGGTCAAGAGAGGCTCCTCCCATTTCCTTCCTTCCTCCCAGATCACAAGCTACTCCAGGCCATGGTTCCAGTGCATGCTGTTAAGACTGGGCGGGAAATGCGTATAACCATCCCTGCCCAGCGAAGTTGTCCTGTGCATTGATCTGAGCAGCCATCACACATGAATCAAAATGCTTTTCAAAAATGTTTAAGGAGATGGGAATGTTAGCTAGCCTGGTCTGGTCATTGCAACTGTATACATGGATTAAATCATCACACCATGCTCCATGCAACGTACCTCTGAAATAACAATTTTTGAAGGTTAGGGAGTTAATGACTCACCTTGAGGAGCAGCATTTCTGACCACCCTCTGCCTCCCGAGAAGCCCCAGGAACTCCAGGAATCTCCTAAAACTCTTGGAACTCTCAGGCCACAGATCCTTTCTTTCGGGCAGGTGAGGACTGTCTGAGGTGGTTCCCAGGGGCACGGTGCAGGAATCAGCGTTACTGAGCCTTTAGATATACGCCAGGTGTTCAGCAAGGGCCTCCGTGTCCTTCACCTCAAGTGGGTCTTCCAAGAGAACCTGTGCCCATAGAGTCAGGGGGAAGCAGAGTCTCTTATCCTTTCTTAAACTGCACTGGAAAGGTAGAGCAAAAGAAGGGGGGGGGCGAGGGAAGGAAGAAGTACAAAGGCAGAAGGGTCAGTAGCATTGCAGAGAGACAGCTCCACCTGAACAGGTGAAGGTATAGGTATGTGGGGGGGGGGTACTGAGTCAGACCTGGACGTCGTCCACACAGCTGCTGGCTCTCCAGTTCCCCCTCAGCTGACAGCCAAACAACACCCTCTCCTCCACACAGAGGGACACAAGGGCCCATTTGGGACAGCAGAGAGCAGGAAAAGAAGTGGGTGAACTTTTGAGATTTCCAGTTCTCCCCTCTTCTCACTCAAATGCTTAAATATTTTTTTTTTAATCCAGAGAAACTGACAGTTCTGTAAGAAAAGAAAAACATCAAGATACTGAGACATGGTGGTTCCCAAATGAATAGGCTGATTCACTCCATCATCAGCCTAGAAGGAATCCTGTCAGTCTATACCCTGTCCTCATGTGCATGGGACTCACAAATGGCCTCTCAGAGCCACGCTGTGCAGGGTAGCTTCAGTGCAAGAGAGACAGACCCAGACCATCTGCTGCATTTAAATCTGTGGAATATTATAAAAATTGACTAACAGAGGTGAGAGTAGCTGCCTTGGGAACAGAACAGGGATGATAAAAGCTGAAACCACTAGTTCTCATTAAAAGATTTCAGCACTCTTTTTTTAAGATAGGTACCACGTGCATGTTTTATTTCATCCAATACAGAATTTACTTTTAAAACAATTTTCTTAGAACAAAAGGATGCTTCCCATTGAACCAGTGCATTAACTAAGGCTGAGAAAGGTTGGATGAGCTGCCCAACACCACACGGCAAGGACGTGGAAGAGCCAAGTTTAACTCCACAACTGTCTGTCTGAAAACCTCAGGATGGTGCCCTTCCCTGCTTGCTGAGTAAAATCCGTTCAAGAAAACCAGCCTCTGACAAAACACTCCTGCTGTTAAGAGACTCTTCAAGGCTCTCGTTAAGGCACTGGGGCCCTGAGGTGTGTCTGGCTGTTCATGAGTGATTCTAGGCAGGTGCTCGTCACTGTGACCAAGACTAGGAGTGCTGAAATTCAATATGGCGGCCCCCAAGGATTGCCAGGAGACAGCAAGAAATGAAAAACGTGCAGCCTTAAAATGCGTCATTGATGTCTGACTGCATGGGGAATTGGGGAGTTGGGAGGAATTCTTTTAGTGATTTTTTTGTGTGTGTGTGTCTAAAAAATCACCTTTGCTTGAAATAAATAAATAAATAAAATGAGCTCCATGCCGGAAGCCTCTGATGTCTTTGTAAATGCTGTTGTTTCAAGTGTTAGCAGGATTTTCCTAAATGCAGCTCCAAGAAATGCCCGCCTCTTTTCTGTGCCACCATTATAGGCAGCGGACAGGGCTGCTCTGGAGTTCTCCTGGATGCAGACAAACAGAGACTGATAGTTAGGGATGGCATCAAGCAAGAGACAGAAAAAATATTGAGGAAGACACAGAGTGTCCCACTTTGGAGCTAACAAATTAAATGCTTTGGGGGCTGAGATTGTCTCTTTTTGGTGGAAAACATCCTATGGGGCCCCATTTGGATCGGTACTCCTGTTCAGGGAAGGCTACTTCCTCTTGGGAAGTTCCTCTGACTGCCCACCTTCCCCATCATGGAGTAGGTTAGGTGTCTGGGTTGGGGGTCCTGTGGAGTCCCCATGTATGTCCTGCACGTACTACACTTCGATGGAATATTTGTTTTCTCACATGTTCTGCTTGACTGTAAAGACTACAAGGTTAGGAACTGTGTGCCTGTTGCATAGTATGACATCTCATCCCTTGAGAAAGTACCTGGCACATAACAGCCCTAGTCAGTATTTCTCAACAGGTCAAAAGAACATAATGTCATATTTCAACAGTGTAATCTCCTAGGAAGATGTTTCTTTGTTTTTCTGAATGTTGTGGTACCTTATCATCTACTTAGAGTATCTGAATATGTGACCTTTGTAATTACCTTTGTATGGAATCCTAGACAAGTTTGGATTGCACGTAAAATAGAGAGATGATGTATATGTTATGGCAACCAAGATGGCTTTACCCTGGAGAACAGTCAGTGTCCCACCACTGCTGCCGAAACCTTTTCCTTCAAGGACTTTGTATAGATATCACCATTTTAGCTTTTTTTTTTTCTTTTCCAAGTCTTGGATTCCATCAGGAAATTTTTCTGAAACACTGAGGCAATTCCTTGTTACAACAGGATGTACCAGGATCTCCCTGTTGATGTCCCTTACCATTCCCCTTTTTGGGAAAGGACACACCGGATGGAGGGAAATGTCATACCTTTTATTGGCTGCCATCTTGTTTCTTATTGGATTCAAATTAAATTTAGCATTCTCCCATCCACACATCCACAAACCCAAAGGGATCCCTGAAAAAATGTAAGACTAGTCACAGAAGATAAAGAAGATTGACTTCACATCTCACTGGGGTATGAGAACGCTTACATGACAGTTACCTGGTTACCATTTTTAAGAGCAATTAATAAGCTTTCTATGTGGTTTAATTTTGTCTGGTATTAAAGTTGAGTCAGGTATTTATTCAAAGGCATAACTTATTGGTGAGGCTTACTGGTGGCCCATAGAGACCCACAGGTGTTGAGAAAACAAATCAGGAAAAAAATACTCATTGATTTAATATTTTTCTGTGAAAGATTCAATCTGTCCCTCCCATGAATAGGAGATTATGAACAATTCAGTGACATTTTCTCTTCTTAGCACTGGAGGCTTGTGTGGAAGGACAATTCCTTGACCTCTCCTTCCTCCTACAATAACAAATACCTTCATTCTTTGCAGGCTATGACCGTTAGAGCCAGAACACTGTTCTTTAGTGAGAGGAGAGCTTAAGATGGTCTTATCCAATCTCCTCATCTCACAAGTAGGAATACCAAGGTTCTGTCAGACAAGGCGTTTTGCCCATGTCCACAAAGAAAGTTGGTGACAGAAGCAAGGCTGGAACGCATGTGACTCAATCCTGACTCTCTCTGCTCATCTGTAATACATCTCCCAAGGTCACACCCAGAAGGAGAGCCATCTGGTCTACCTGATCCAAGTATTGGCCCGGGTGGAGACTTGGTGGTTTCTGGGTCTGATGACCTCTGAGACCCAGCTCCACACACTCTTTCCTTGAGCCATGGCACATCCACAACTTTATAACCCTGGAAGAAGAAGCAGTGTGGCCACCCAGGACTTGCAGAATTCGAAGAAAACACTGACAGGTGGATAGCAGGATTCGCAGTGTTCTCCGTCTTCTCCAACAGAATCCACAGGATGCCAAGAAGACAAATGCATTTTTCCCCTCCAAATTATTCCTCCCACAAATGCTAAGTGTCTCCATCTGGGAGACATTTCACATTTCAAGCAGCTATTGCTGATCTGTAGGAGGACTCGCCAAGTATCAACTGTCTCCCCAAAATAACTCCCTTACTGCTGCAGAAGCCGCCAAGACCCAGCCCAGGCAGGAAGAGAAAAATAGTGTTTTGGTAGGAGCCCAAAAGCTAGAGGAGACCATGGCAGCCAGCCCCTGGTCTGGGTTCACCTACTGTCCCCCTTCAGGGATACATTGATGAGGACATTGATGAGAGAAGGCCACCGGGGTCCTCTCTGGGAAGGAAGTATTTCCAGAAAATGTTTCCTCAAAGATGTCTCCTTAGGTGACAGCCTCATGTTTCTTCTGACACTTGAAGTTCACTCGGGTTCTTGGAGTAAACCACACACATTTCCTGCTAGGCCACGTTAGCAAAGGTCCCATAGAAGGTGGCAGTGCTGGGAGAGGTGGCTCTGAAGGAGAGCCCAGAGTCTGTCTCTACCACGTCCCCTTATGTTCAAATGTGCCAAATTAACCATGTGGCCATGGACACGGAGCCGCATCTCCAAGCCAGCAAGGCTGCCCATACCCATTGACTTGCCATTGATTGATTTGTTGTCTGTAGGGTGGGGGTCCCTGGGAGGAGAGCCGGGATGGAGAAGACACAGTCTTGGAAGGGGTGTACGAAACAGGACCACAGGCGCACTAAGTCTCATTAGGGTAGAGAGGTGTGGGGAGCCCTGGTGTAGGACTTCCAGGAACTGGAAGATGGAGAAGTCATTGCCAGCTGAGGGCCAGGGGGAGTTTGCATGAGGACATAGTGTTTGTCCTAGACCTGGAAGGAGGGGTTAGAATTCCAGGGGAGGACAGGCATCTCCGGTGTATGAACAGCAGGAGCTAAGGCAGTCTGAGGTGGTCAGGGTGTCCAGAGGGGAGTTTCATCCATTCATTGTTTCTTTTCTCCATTCATTGAAAGGGACAGCTGCGTACTGAGCACCAGGTATGTGCAGTTGCCCAGAACTAGGGCTGGGCATAGGACACACATAAACACGACCCCACAGAGCTTTTCTCTGGTGGATGAACAAGAAGTCGTGGGAGGAAAGTAGAATCCAGAGTGACAAGACACATGACCCAAGGTCCATGGGAGACTGTGGGCTATGGACATGGTGTGACCGAGTAGGGGATCCTGTGGGGGCAGAAAGCAGAATCAAAAGCCAAAGGTGGGGGATAAAGGCACTGGGGGGCTCAGCAGGTGTGCAGGCTCTGTGGTCACCCTGGAGGGCAGCGTGCCTGGTGGGAAGGTGCAGCTCTGAGCACCTGCAAAGCTACCGACTGCCACTGTCACGGGCTTCCCATCCCGTCCTGTGCTGTTGGTTTTGTGTTCCCAATGTGTGGCTTAGGTCGCCAGGGACTTCAAGGTCAGGGACAAAGCCTTGGAGCAGTGAGCACAGGCCGACCCACATGGTAGATGCTCTGAGTGTATTTGGTGACTGGTGTGTGTGTGTGTGTGTTAGAAAGGGAGAGAGAGATTCCATGGAGCAAAGGTATGTCTTCATTTTTATATTTGAGAGATTAAAATATTTCTCCAGTGTCTATCATCATTGTTGATTCTTTGTGTGTTCCAGCCACTGATCTCCTCCCATATAATGACAGTTTATTGGCCAGGAAGGTAATATGTTAAAGGAAGATATTTCTGTGGAATTCTTATGTTCATATATGGTCAGCATCAATGACTGGCCGTCCAAGTGCCTCCTACCTGAAGGGGGAAAATCAAGAAATATGTTTTAAGAATTTTTGAAATTGAGATTTTTGACACATCCCTGTGTATCCCATTTAAAGGATAAAAAACCTTCATTGATATTCTATGTTTAAAATCCTTACTGAGTATTAAAAACAAATTTCTTAAAAAATGTAAGAATCTAATATCACTGTTATTATGTGGACCAGTATCTTCCTATTTATCCATGTAAATGTATGCAGGCATGTGTACTTTTAAAAATGAGGGTGTGTGATTAAATGCTGATTTACATGATGCACTCAAAACAGTACTGTCATGTAGGCATTAAATCATTTTACATAAACATAATTTTTCCATGTGCATCATGTGCTTTGAGAACTTTTGCCCTGAGGGGACAACTGGCATTAATACAGTCCTGTTCAAATGCTGGAGTTTCTGCTCCTCTAAGTGCCATTGGGGAGACGCTGCAGTTAGAGGGACATGAAGCAGGGGTTGGCCTGGGAGTCAGGAAGAGCTTAAGGTCTAGATAATCACCACAAATTGTAGCTGGGCAAGGGAGCATCCAAGGCAGGTGGGCAGGGCCTTCCAGGGAGACCACAGTGTGGCCATGCACCTGAACAGGTAGCACAGGGGGAACGTACCCCTGTGGCCCCTGGTTCTTTGTTACTTCTCATTTATCATTTGGCTCTTTTGCATTTTCTAGGTTTACATCCATATTGTTCTCAGGAAAGCCCGGCTCCCTCCCCAGTGCCTCCCAGCTGGTCAGCAAGTGAACCCTGGCTTTGTTCTGGTCTTCCTCAGTAACATCCACATGGGGGGAAAGCAGGGGCCCTTGCTTTGTCCAGGATTCTAAAGGGTTTCTGGTGTTTGGCACTTGGGTAGGGTGTTGGATGTCACTGTGTGGGCGCTAGTCTTTATCGTGTTAGCAGAGTGTTCCTCTGCACAATGAGTTCTGCATTAAAAAACAATAAGAGTTCAGAGATGGGTATTGAATTCTGTCAAAACCCTTTTGGTTTCTGGTGATGGTCCTTCTCCTCTGATCCTCTGATGTGATAAATTATGTTAATAGATTTCTGAATATTAAATGATTCTTAATATTCAATCTACCTTGACTTCCTGGAAGAAAATCCATTTGGTCATGGCAATTTATTTCTCTGAAGCAAAGCTGAATTAGGTTTTCTGGGATTTTATTCAGCGTGTTTATGTCTATATCGATAAATAATATTGGATTGCAACTTTCTCAGTCTTTAGCTATTGTTATGAGACCTTAGCAATAGACTCATGCTGATCTCACTAAGAAATCAGGATGCATGTTTTTCTTCTTTTTAAATTTCTTCCTCAATAGTTACATAGCAGGAGAGTTGCCTATTTTTTTTTTCAGAATGTTGAAATCACTCACATTTTATTTAGAATAATTGAGGCTTAGTTCTTTCTTCATATTATTTTATGCAGCTTATTCAATGTTTCCCAAAGGTATTAACATACTTGGATTCCCTTTGGGTCCATTTTTATAATTCATATTTGTCTAGACAGTCACTG